GCATAAGAATTATGTGGTATGTATGAAAATGCCCCATGATGAGATAAGTTGCAACATGATTCTAATGTTTCTCCTACTGCTAATGCACATATTATTTCAAATTTACAGGTAGAAGGTTGGATTTGAAACTTCTTTTGGAAAGAAAACTATGGCTACACTTGGCGACATTGGTCTTGCTGCAACTATAAACATTCTTAGTGCCTTTGCTTTCTTGCTTAAATTTTAACTTCTTGTTTGGCCTTTCTTATTATGAATTTATAGTTGTTGGTTATAATAGGCTATTTTGTTTTTAGTTTTTTATGTTTTCAATTTTCATCGAGGTACAGTGATATATATGTTGTGAATTATGAATTAACTTGTACTTGTTGCATGACTTTTATAATGTCATCGTTAATTTGTATTAGAAATAATAAATCCTAACATATTCTATATCATATTTGTTATTATAGATTAAGATTGCAACATAATCAATCCGCTACCTTGTTGTAAGACATTTTTATTTAGGTTACAACTCAATTATGATAACAACAATTGAGACTTTTTCATAAGTTAATAATTTTTCTCTTTTGAACATTTTATTTATTCAACATCACGAGCCCACTCAATCGATATAAGTGACAATATTGTGATTGATTTCCACCATTTGATTTTTTTAATGATTTTGGTTATTTGAGATGTTCAAAATTTTGGATCTTCATCTAAGTGTTAACCCTAGATGTGTTTAATGAAAGATAGATAGTGGATTAATGTTGATTGTGGTGAAAAAGATGACTTTGTTTTTTATTTTCTTTGTTGAGAGATTTCTGTAACCGCTTCAGAAGTATTCTTGAGTTTAGCAGAAGATTACTCAAATTATTTTCTATGAGCATTTATACTTTCAGGGACAGTGATTTGTGCTTTCGCATAATGAATGAAATCAGCCTAAGAGCAAATTATAACTCACATTAAAGATGAGTTGAAAGGCCCAAAATGAAGCTCTCTAAGAAAAGTTCTTGCAATAACTCAAAAAGTACTCATGGAATCTGACGAGCTTCAGATGAGAATTTCTAAAGGCACTCTGTAGGTGACTCTTCCTGAAAGGTGAGATGAGTCCTTAATAATCCTTCAATTTACAGTAAATTATTCTGCAAAGAGTTTGGTCATCGATGTTGTAGATAGTCTTTTCTGGGAGGGAGTAAAATCAAATGCTATCCTAGCCTTTAAATATGGTAGGAAAAACCTGACAAGTAAGCAACCATGCGGCTCATTGAATATTCATGAAAATTCTGTAGAGATCAATAAGTTCATAGGCGTCAAATGTCTCATCATAAGAGTTGATATTTAAAAGTTTAAAAACTGTTGGGATTGAGTGCTTGAGAGCTATCTATATTAAAGTTGAGGATCTATAAAAACTAGGACGAGTAGAAAATAATTTTTATTGCTTAATGGAAACTCTTCTTGTCGACCTCACTTGGTGGGATGAAGGTTTTTTGTTATTTTTGTTGTCGAATGGAAACTCTTCTTGAGCCAGACTTTGCAATTCGTTATGTATAATATGAGAGGTGTTTGCAAGATGAGGTTGTGTTAAGTTTTCAACGAGTGTTGAAGGAATGTGGGTTGGCTAGACTACACGAGTTGAATGTGTGGAGTTGGTGGTATGACGAAGTTCAACCCCTTGGCCTAAATGGGGAGACACTGTTGCATGGTGGTGAGGTTACCTTGTACAATTGTTCTCTAGTTGGATGCCTCTAATTAATTGTTAATCTTAGGGTACGTGAACCCCTTCTTCTTGTGTTATTACTGGTTGTTGTGTCTTGAGCCGAAGAATCTCATTTTGAGACTCCTCCATTCTATGAATTTGGCTCGTTTATGCTGCGAGATTTGTAGTTGATGGTCTGGATTTATACGGCTTTTAAGTGTTCTCAGATGAGACCGCCTTTTGGGTAGTCTTCTCTATATTTCATAAGCAACACGGGATCGTATGCGATAATCACGTATTTGATCATCTAGATTCGATATGGGGTTAGACGAGGTAAAGTTGTCTAGGACTGGTGGAAGTGTCACAGTTTGAATTGTGGATGAGGAGGCCATGCTACTGACTCTTTTTAGATTTTTCAGAATTGAAAATGGATTTGGGATCTTTGTAAACAAAGAGTGCAATTTCCGAATGTAACTCCTTTCCTTTATTGTGTCTTTCGGGATCCATTCTTTTGTTGAGAGTATGGAGTTGACCCTAGTATCTCCTGCAATAAGAATAAAAGTTAGCCGTCTACTCCGACGGGCCAATTTTTTATGAATCTCCTTCTGAAGAAGATGAAGATGAGGACGACCCGTTATCACTATTCTTATACTTTAATAAATATAACAGTGACACTGAGTTATTGGCGAAAGTTGGTGGGGATGACGACAATGCAAACCATGCTGAGGTTAATATTGAAGAATCTGATAATAGCTCCGTTGATGATGACAACGAAGACTCTGAAGTTAGTGTTACAATTGAGCCTGGTAATAAACACCCTACCTTGAGGGGACACATTCCGTTTGAAGATTATCCCACTCCATCCCTTGCCATGTTAGAACAAGATGAGTATTGCGAAATGCTCGATTACCCTCCACCCAAACCAAAGCCAATTACCAAAACTTCACCTACTCAAAATTATTCCCCCTTTGACCCAGAAACTCCACAAACATTACCAAAACCAGAAATAACCTATCCTAATATCAAGAGTCAACTTGCTGACCTCGAATATCCCAGACTCAGAAAAATGGCTGATAAGGCTGATAAAGCCTACGCATCCATTTCATCCTCCCCCTATCTCCCGCCAAATGAACCAGTAATGGGTCCGGTCATGTACCCGCCAGCCACTTCGGGAAAGCAATACGAACCTTCAATTTCATCCTCGTACAACAACCACAGGGCGAAGGCCTCTGATTTCAAAAAAAAGGTTCCTAACGCACCTTCACCGGTCAGTTAATGTCTATCAAGGAGGGAAAAGGCAGATGCTTGATCTACCTTGTTCAAGGACTATTCCCTGACCTCGCAAGTGTTGTAGTCGGAGGTTTTGTTGTTGTTCATAGTAAGTTTGTTGGCTAATAAATATATGTTTATAAAACTTGAAAAATGTGGGATTGTTTCTCAAGAACAATGTCAAGCTAGACAATTCTCTATAGTAAATAAAAAGATTGAAGACTTAGCTCAACTAGAATATCCAATACACAGAAAAAAGTGATAAGAGATAACAAAACTTTTTACTTGAAAAACATAATAAAGTGAAAAAAATATTGGGCCTTGCTGAGTTAAAGTAAGCCGCGTTATAATTAAAGTTACACCATTACTCTCCTTTCTAAATAGAGAAGATGAGGTTACAAGATTGCAAATACTTTTGTATGTGATAACAATCTTACAACCAGTCATAAAAACACTATTGATTTTGCTAGCTGCCAATTAATGGGGTAATTCTGAAAATTAGATCAAAAGATTGTTTGTGAGTAAGGAGCAATTTGTAGTTTAACCAAGCTTATGCATACAAAATTCAGATCTATGTAATAAGGAAAAAAACAATCTCTAACTTTAAGATGCCTTTATAAGCTCTAGTTTTTTTCTTTTCAAGATTTTTCGTCTGATGATTTAAAGATCTTGGTGTGAGATACTGTCAGCATGCTAGTATCATGAGGATCTAAGGTCTCAAGAAATGAAGACATTGCAAACTCTAATATCTGATGGTTTGTTGGCGAAAATGTATTGAGGCTTAAAACAACACGTACTTAAGATGTGCACACGAGCTTAGGAGAAGATGTGCGCACGTCAAATTCTCATGTTGCACGCTCACACAAACGTATTGAAGATATATTGAAGGCTAAAATGACAACTCAACGATCACACTCGCAAATGCATTAGCTAGAAGCGTGCTATAAAGTAGATGGACTCACCTCCAAAGGCTTTAGTTATCATGCACATATGATCTTTGCGACCTCAACATAACCTTAAGAGTTTAACTGCAGCTCTGTAGTCCTTCGGTGCCTGGAGAGTAGACACTGAAAACTATTAAGGAGAATTTACACACGTACCACCCAATTTTTTTGTATTTACATATCCCCAACCTTTGCATAAAAAAGGTGTTTCACCTTTGAAAAGCTAAAATAGTGTTATTTTTTGCGTGATTTGAAAATTTTGTGTGGTCTAAATGTAAAAGTAAAGTTTAATTGTTATAAATGTAAATATATAGGAATTGGGTGGTATGCATGTAAATGCCCCAACATATAACATATCACTGGTAAATAACTTAACCGAATTCTATTTAAATGATAGAGTTGCCATCGAGCCCAATCTCAAATCATTTCAAATTAATTATTTAGAAAGTTGTACCGTGTTCAAGCTTTTTTCATTTAATCTTCAAGCTTTTAAAAGTGTGGCTAACTATTAATGAAGCTGAATTTGAACTCTTCATTTAGAGGCTCTTTGGCTACAACTAGGATTTAAGCTAATCAGGATTCAATGAATATGATAAATTTGGATTTATTAAATCCTAATATTGTAAATTCAGAATAATGTTTGGTTCAATTTAAGGCTAAATCCATTAATGTTGATTTTCATGTTCGGCATAAATCCACTCCTAAACTTTCTTTTTAAGTTAAATCTATCAAATCTATATAATAATCAGATTTAATAAATCCAATTTTAAGTTAAAAAACTAACGAAAACCAAAAAAATTTGGATTTGACGAGGTTCGGATTCAACTTTCCTGATTTTTTTTATGTTTGGCTTGATTTACATTAAATTTCACATAAATCCCTCTCAAATCCGGCTACCAAACACCCCCTTAATGTGCGTGCACACATGCGTGTGTTTATTCGTATGTGTCCATGCATGTTTAGCGTGCACGTGTGTGTGGATAGGCTTTTGTAATTTTATTTGATGTTCTAATAACTTTTGTTGATGCCATATATGCAAATTCAAATAAATTTCTTAATTAGAATACTCCACAATGAAATTAATAAAAAATATTGATCTTATTTTCTAGACTGGTGTGCGAGGCTTCTTCATCAAAGACTTCTATGACATTTGGCTATGTTTCGTGGATTCTCTGATGACCTTTTAATGCAGGATCATTAGTGTGCTGTTTATGTGTTATTTTTGAGATATTCTTCTCCAGTAGGTTCTTCAACCATATGCTGCGATATTTATGAGGCCTCAGGTCTTCCTCACGATATTTGCAGCTGGTTTCAGGCACTCTTCCTTCTATTGCATTTAATCAGAGGCTTCCATCTCCAGTAATTAATGACGATAGCTATGTTTTTCCTTCATTTTTTTTGGAAGTTATAAATAAAGGAGAGAATTTCATGGGAGTTTGTGATTGTAAATAAGAGTTTGATTGATGTACAGGAACAATCAATTTTGTTCTTGAATAAATTTGTACTTAGAACTGTTAATCTTAGGGAAATTTGCATATATACCACACAATTCCTTTATATTTATATATTTAACACCTAAACTTTCATATTTACATTTATTACACTTTGGTGTGATAAATCTATGCATGAAAATGTGTTATGCATCTTTTTGAAAGTAGTTGATATGGATTTTTTTTGTTGTGATATTAAAGATTTGAGTGCCATGCATTTAAATCTTAGAGTTTGGGTGTTAGATATGTAAATGCATAAGAACTATGTGGTATGAATGTGAATGCCCCGATTTCTTAAACGCTTCGGGTTAACTGCATGGTCAAGTGAGCTGTTTCGATATCTAGGGCATATTATCTCTTTATAGAAGAGCAAAAGCTTGTTTTGTGAACTACTTTCTTCATATATTTGTTTTCTTTATTTCAACATGTGCTAAAGCTTGATAAAATCTAGTTTTCAGCAAGTGTTTAGATTTTAACTTCTTGTTTGGTCTTTTTTATTATGAATTTATAGTTGTTGGTTATGCAACCTTTCTTATGCATGACAATTTTGTTAAAATTAAAATAGTATTGTTATTAGGCGAAAGGTAAGAGAATACCTAATTTTGTAGAAGAAATTTCTAAGAGGCTGCCAGAAAGGACATTAGGTAGAGCATAGGTGTACATTGGAGGTACCTGGCGTGCCTTCACCGGTAGGTTAATGTCTATCAAGGAGGGAAAAGGCAGATGTTTGACATCCCCAGTTCAAGGACTATTCCCTGACCTGGTGAGTGTTGTAGTGGGAGGTTTTGTTGTTGTTCATAGTAAGTTTGTTGGCCAATAAATACATGTTTATAAAGCTTGAAAAATGTGGGATTGTTTCTCACAAACAACGTCAAACTGTTGTGTGCTAGACAATTCTCTATAGTAGATAAAAAGATTGAAGTCTTAGCTCAACTAGAATATTCCGATACACTGAAAAAGTGATAAGAGATAACAAAACTTTGTACATGAAAAACATAATAAAGTGAAAAAAATATTGGGCCTTGCCGAGTTAAAGTAAGCCGCTTTAAAGTCACAACTTCACTCTTTCTAAATAGAGAAGATGAGGTTACAAGATTACAAATACTTTTTGTATATGAACAATCTTGGAACTATAGTCATACAAACACTATTGTTTTTGCGAGCTACCAAATAATGGAGCAATTCTCAACATTAGATCAAAATATTGTTTGTGAATAAGGAGCAATTTGTAGTTTAACCAAGCTTATAAATCTAGAATCCAGATCTATGTAATAAGGAAAAAGCAATCTCTAACTTAAACATGCCTTTATAAGCTTTAATTTTTTTCTTTTCAAGATATTTTGCCAGAAAAGAACTTGTAAGATTTAAAGATCTTGGTGTGAGATAGTGTCACCATGCTAATGGTTTCTTGGCGAGGACATGAGGTTGCAAACTCTAATATCTAATGGTTTCTTGGCGAAAATGTATTGAGGCTTAAAACAACATATACACTGCATGCGAGCTTAGAAGGAGAAGTTGTGCACACCACAGATTCTCATGCTGCACGCTCACACCAGTGTATTGAAGATATATTGGGGGTTAAAATGACAACACAACGATCACACTTGCAAATGCATTAGCTATAAGCAGGCTATAATGGAGAAGATGGACTCACCTCCAAAGGCTTTAGTTATTATGCACGTGTGCTCTTTGCGACCTCAACATAACCTTAACGGTTTAAGTGCAGCTCTGAAGTCCTTCGGTGCCTGGAAAGTAGACACTGAAAACTATTAAGGAAGATTTACACAGATACAACCCAATTATTTTGTATATACGTATCCTATCCCCAACCTTTGCATAAAAAAGGTGTGTTTCGCCTTTTAAAAGCTAAAACAGTGTTATTTTTTATGTGATATGAAAATTTTGGGTGGTATAAATGTAATATTAAAGTTCAGTTATTATATATGTAAATACATAGGAATTGGGATATAACATATCACTTTAAATAACTAAACCGAATTCTATTTAAATAACATAGAGTTGCCATTGAGCCCAATCTCAAATCATTTCAAATTAATTGTTTAAAATGCTGTACCGTGTTCAAGCTTATTTCATGTATTCTTCAAGCTCTTAAAAAGTGTGGCTAACTATTAATGAAGCTGAATTTGAGCTCTTCATTTAGGGGGTATTTGGCTACAACTAGGATTTAAGTTTAACAGGATTTAGTGAGTCCGTTAAATTCAGATTTATCAAATCCAAATGCTGTAAATTCAGAATAATGTTTGGTTCAATTTAAGGCTAAATCCATTAAAATTGATTTTCATGTTTGGCATTAATCCACTCCTATAACTTTCTTCTTATGTTAAATCTATCAAATCTATATAAAAATCAGATTTAATAAATCCATTTTTAAGTTTAAAAACTATCATAAAGCAGACAATTATGGATTTGACAAGGTTCGGATTTAACTTTCCTAATGTTTATGTTTGGCTTGATTTACATTAAATTTTACGTAAATCCCTCTCAATCCGGCTACCAAACACCTCTTAGTGTGTGTGTGCTTGTGCGCGTGTATATTCATTCATATTTGTCCATGCATGTTTAGTGTGCACATGTGTGTGGATAGGCTTTTATAATTTTATTTGATGTTCTAATGACATTTGTTGATGTCATAGATGCAAATTCAAATAAATTTCTTAATTAGAATACTCCTGCACATTGAAATTCATAAAAAACATTGATCTTATTTTCTAGACTGGTGTGCGAGGCTTCTTCATCAAAGACTTCTATGACCTTTGGCTATGTTTCGTGGCTTTCTCCGATGACCTTTTAATGCAGGATCATCAGTGCACTGTTTATGTGTTTATTTGGGAGTTATTCATCTCCTGTAGGCTCATCAACCATGTGCTGTGATATCTGTGAGGCCTATTGCATTTAATCAGAGGCTTCCATCTCCAGTAATTAATGGCAATAGCTATTTTTTCTCCTTCTTTTGGAGTTATGACCTTTGTGATTGTAAATAAGAGGTTGATTGATGTACAGGAACAATCAATTTAGTTCTTGAATAAATTTGTAATTAGATCTATTAATCTTAGGGAAATTTGCATACGATTCGAACACGAACGAACGCATAACTGTTCGTGTTTGGTTCGTTTAACTAACCGATCGAAAAAAATTTGTTCGCGTTCGCCTCGTTTACCTATCGAACGAATCGAACACGAACTCATTGACGAACCGAACACGAACTGTTCGCGAACAACGAGCTTTTTTGACAGCCCTGCTTGTGATTTACTATTCTTACACATTAAGTAGGGCCTAGGCGAAGAGACATTATTATGTGCGGTTGCGTCCGCTATCCATTGATAAATTTTAAATTTTTTTTTAATTGCGGCCTACTGACATACACTTTTGATATGAGGAGTTTTTCATTGGTTATGGTGAAAAATTCATCAAGGGAAATTTACATATATACCAAGTAATTCTTATATATTTACATATCTAAGACCTAAAATTTTAAATTGACTTTTATAAAACTTTTGTGTCATAATAGGTATATTTTATTTTTAAAAAGTATGTAAAAGTGAAACTTTTGATTTGATGTTAAAGATTTGAGTTTTATGCTTCTCAATACGAAAATTTAGATGTTAGTTGAAAGACATAACAAAGGTGGGTTATGTAAATGCACCAATTTTATGAATATATAATGGGGGTCGGAGCCATTCATGAAAGAAATAATTTGGCTTAAGAATCTAAGGATTTTCAGATCTTTAAACTCTTTCTAATTTCAACTCTACATTCTATTCATGTAAAAAGTAAGATTTCTTTTATAATTTTTTCGTGATAATTTAGCTGTGTTGACCAAAATATTAAAATAGTCCATTGAATAGTGAGGATTATTATTTTTAATTATAAATCATTTAAGTACTTTTGTGACCTCAAAATTGAATATTAGGGACATTATATTCTTATCATTGAGAAGCTAGAATTTCCTACAAGCTTGCTAGCTTTAAAAATAGTTTGTGGCACTTTAGATGTCTAATTTTTTATTATTTAGACGTATGATCCCGTTTGGATGATTGTAACTTTTTATAGAGGCACTTGTAAAACTCTTAAGGGAAAAGCAATATATAAATTTTTTTTTTATAAAGCTTGATAGTATGCTATTACAATTCAATATATCTGATTTTAAAAAGCAATTTCTCACCATAATTTTTTTTTAAAAAAATAATAATAAATATAATTGTGGTATGAAAAGCAACATGGTGAGAAAACTGCCCCAAACAAACTCTTAAAAATAATCACTTTCAGTGTCATTATATTTGTCTCATCGTGATGCTCTCTTTATCATCTTCATTTCCACTTTCAAATTTTGCATATAAAACTCACATTTAATTTAGCTTTCTTAACGTTGAAGAGAATCAAATCAATCAATGAAAAAGAATAATGTTTGACATCTGGACACAAAATAATAAGAATAATTTGGCAACAATACTCAACTTGTTGGTTTTGCGTATAAAGCAAATAAGCATCACCACTATCTTGAAGTAAGACAGACGCTCACCCTGACAATATAATCCACTAACAAAAGTAATGTTTTAGGGCTACATGTAAGTCTCTCTGGCCAAGTATTTTTGTTTCCTCCATGACACTCATTATATCTCCTTTACAAGCATTTCTTAGCTCCTTTCCTGTAGCATGGCCTTCTCCATATCTCAAATCCAAAGAGGGCGGAGAATGTCATCAAGAGAAGTTGATAGCTAGCGGTATCTTTTATTTTTTTCTTCCTCGTTTCATTATTTGCTCTCGCATATGAAAATAATGATTCATATGTGTCGTATATCTTCACTAGTCTCTACAGGGGTATTTGCACACACGCCATAATGTTCATACTTTAATCTATCAATGACGTGATATTTTTATATTTATTCAAAAAATATGCAAACCTTTAAATTATATAAAAAATATTATTGATATTCATACATGTAAATACATAAAATTTACTTGATGTTTATCAAGTAGGGGCGGAACCAACATCTTTTATGGGAGGGGACTGTCCCCTGGACCTAAAGTGGGGCTAGAGCAATAAAGAGCAAAGTAATATTTTAGGAGCAACAAAAGTAATAGTTTTTCAGGAGTGAAAAATGACTAAATTATCCTCCTATAAAGTAAAAATCTAAATTTGAAAGCCGGGGGAAGAATGGCATTTGCCCCCGAGCTTAAGTTTTCAAGTTCGAGCCGGCTTGTTTACTATAGAGAATAATAATATTAATTTAAGGCAATGTTATAATAAAATGACAAATAAAATGAGCAATTATAAGAAAAATAATAAAAATTTACCCAATATACAATAGAAAATAATATTAATAAAGAGATATATCAGGAGAGACAAAAGTAATATTTTTTAAGGAGGAGTAAAAAACTAAATTGCTCTTACATATAAATATAAATCTAAATTTGAGGGGTGAGGCTTTTTAACACTTCAATGATACTGTCATCATATTTAATATATTGTGAGTATATTTTATATTAATATTTTTCTTAAACGAGTCACCTTACGGGCCAACGAGTCAAGTTGGAGCTAACTTGAGCTTGGCTTGTTAGCTCATCGAGCTCAGTTAACGAGCCACTTATCAAACCAAACACAAATCAGCTCGCGAGTCGACTTGATTCACTTACACCTATATCCGCCCCATGTATGTAAATCCTCAAAAACTCTAATCTCACTTCACCATACAAATAAATCAAGCCAAAATTTACATACACACCACACAATTTTTTGAATTTACATATCTCAAACCCAAAGTTTGATATTTATATTTCTAACACATTGGTGTCAAAAACAAGCTTACAGAAGCACATGTCATTTTTTTTTTTTAATAATGATTGCAATATATTTGTTTATCTAATGATAATAATTTGAATGTAAATATGAGAGCATAGCTATTAGACAAGTAAAAATATAAGCTTTGTGTGGCATGCACGTAAATGACCTCAAATCAAAACAATTTAGGAAAAGATAAACCTTCCAAATTCCGCCATTGGGCCGTATAATGCTCCAACCAAAACAAGCCCCAGCCCATTTAATTAATCTGCCAAGTAAATAATACCAAACGTGTTGGATATGTAATTGTACGCTATCCTTTTCAAAAATCTATTAACCAACGACAGTACTATTAAATAATAGTCTAAAAGCGTAAATGACAAATGAATTGTCATTCACATTTAATTCAATTTAAAGCAACACCACCAAATCAGGTCGTCCGTTACTAAACGCCGATCCGAACCATGTTGGTGTCACGCTTCCGGTCTGAATGGACCAAAAGGGTTTCACGTGGTTCGGCCTTTTTTTTGACTCATTCCATCCGGACCAGTGCTTTAGTTAATCGTTCGAAAATTAATTCAAATTTTAACTTGAGACAGGATCGGATCAAAATAAAATACTCAATTTTGAGCCAAACAAAATATGAGCTCGAAATCTATCCAGATTGCCTCCTAGTATTTTTTTTATTCATAAATGTTATATATTTATATATCTCATGCCAAATAAAATTGATTAAAACGAATCATGAGTTAAGTTCAAGTCGATTTTGAGCTGGAATGGATCCAAATAACTCAATTTGAGCCAATTAATTTCAATTTTTAGCCAAAGCTGGCTCTATTTTGCTTTAGAGTCGAATTGAGCTCGGTTTAATTTCGAGCAGCTAGTTAGAAATTGAACCACGAGCCTCACTAAGGTTATGTTTGGGCCAGCTGCAGCAGTTTGAAAAAGCAAATGTGATGATGTTGTAAAAGAAGTTGTTCCAAAAATTGTAATTACTATTACAAATTTATTTTAATTTAAAAAAATCAAACCGCCACCAAATTTTAACGAGATAGACTAAAAAAAACAACTTTTTACCACAGTTTAACAGATTTGATTAAAAATAATATTTTTTTATCATTAAAAAATTAAAAAATCAATAAAAAAATCTAAAAAAAAGTTTTGATGACGGCAATGGTTCCAATGGGCCCTGAACCTATTTATCCTATAACAGCCCTAATCCAGACAGATTGATCCGAAATGACACACGGGTCAAGATCTGTAGTCAAACATGTTGGTGCCTCAAACTTGCCGTTCTGCGGCTTGGTGGAAGGCGGGAATAATGATAGTCTTCCGCCGTCCTTAACGGCTGGCATGTACGAACCCGGCTCGGTCTTTAATACCAACCACGTGTTTCTCACTTCCAATCAATTTCCGACCCACCCAAACCCAAATGATTCACGTGCTTTAAATTTCCAATCCCTTTCCTCGGGACTCATCGTCTTCCCCTGTTTCCGCTCTTTCCTCTTCGAAACCCAATATTTAAATATTTATATACCAAACATATAAACCTTTTCATATGTAAATTTTAAATTATACATTTATTAAACCTGTAAATACATACGAATCAGAGTCTATAAAGACAAAGCGGAGGAAGAAGAGAGGAAACAGTGGAGAAGGTTGGCCGAGAGAATAAAACATAAAGCTAACAGCTTTAAGAGAAATTGTGAAGAAAAATTTAAGAGATTGGAAGAAAGATGGAGGAGAAGCAGAAAAAAACAGGGGAGAGATCAAGCTTTGCAGTGACTTGTAGTTTGCTCAGCCAGTTTCTTAAGGAGAATCGGGATTTGGGAAAGCTTGGGATAGACAAGCTTCACTGCTCGCAGGACAAGGAAAAAAGTAAGATTTTTTTTTTCTTCTTCTTTAAACATGCCAGATGTTTTAGGCTAAGCTTACTTGCTGTCTACTTCCATCTACTGCTCTTTTTCTTAGCCATTTGAGAAGTGAAACGAGGAGATGGACTTTCGTGCACTTAGAAGAACAAAATGACAATTGCATGCACTTAATTTTTCTTTTCCACAGCCTTTAACTCAAAATCGTGTCTGTTTTTGTGATCTACTTGATAATTATCTGAAAGTTTTACATAATTATATGATAAAATAATTAAAATTTTCAAGTTTGGGTCTTTTAAAATGTTTAGGTTATACTAGTTTGATTGTTTAAGTGATGAATAAATTTAAACTAAAAAGAATATTTTTTTACTTATCATGATTATTTTTTATCTTGAATAAATTACTAAAATATGTTAAATTTGATTTAATTAATTTGTTTAGCACAAGTTTTATATCTCAGATATTAATCAATAGTACACTATTTAGTCTAAACATTCAATAAAGTGGGTGAGTGAGAACATAAAATTAGGCGGAGATATATATTATTCTCTCTTTAGTGTATAAAGTTTCAAATCTCTGTCGCGTTAGAGGGATAGAGGAAGAGAGAATCTACAACTTCAGTGGAGTAAAAAAACGTTTTTTTTTTTTTTCATAAAACAGGCTTATTCCGGCCACCAACTACCATGAATCTGTTTCCTGGATCGAACGTATCGGCCGACAACCGAAACGAACCGGATTTATCGGAAAAAACTGCTACGATGCCTGTGGATCCCCCTCCCCAACTCCAAGACAAAGATGCCATCTTCAAAGCTCCAAACAGAGTCGATCAAGAGTATAAAACTAATTTTTTTTTTTTTTGAAATTTACATGCGTAGCGCTTTATTATTATGCATTTAGGTCTCTCGCGTCAAAACTTTGATTTTTACAAATCAGCACCCTAAAAATGTAAATTTTACTGTTTTGCGCTGTTGAAAAGTGTGAATTGAGTGCTGAATTTATAAAAAAATAAAAGTTTTGATATAAGTAAATACATGAGAATCGGGTGCTGTGTATGTAGGTTCTCCTTATTTTTTATTTTTAATTAAAATTAAAGTTTTTAATTGCTTGTTATTAATATGTTTAGGGAAAAATTAAAGTTAATGTTTTTAATTGCTTGTTATTAATATGTTTAGGGAAAACGAGATAAATGCCCAATTAACAATATTTTACGATGGAAAGGTGATGGTTTTTGACGATTTTCCTGCTAAAAAGGTCAAGGATTTGATGGAGATGGCGGGCAAATCTGCCCTTCAGAACTCTTGTCCGACACCATTACTGCAGCATGAGCCAATTACTTCAGGTAAATTAAAAATTAAATTTTTTATCGAATTTTTATTTTTATAAATTTGATTTTTAATAAATCATGCTCTAATTCGTTATTGGTTCCCTTAAAATTAGATGTTTTTTGCTTTTTAATATTTTTTAAAGCTTTCATAGTAGGGTTTTTTTTTAAATGTTTTTTTGGAGAAAAAATCAACTTTAAAATAATATTTATATTTTTGAGCATTTTAAAATCATTTAAATTATTTTTTTCCAAAATAAAAAAATTGAATAAATCAGTAATAAATAATAAAAAAGATCCCTTTATTTTTTATCTTCTTCTAAAGAATTTACATATATATTTTTTTATTTCTTTTGCAGTTGATCTTACCATGCCCATAGCAAGGAGGGCTTCTCTTCATAGATTCCTTGAGAAGAGAAAGGATCGGTAATTTACATAACATCTTATATATTTACATGTCTAACCTTCTGAACTTTTATATTTACATCTATAACACTCCAATCTAGCTTGGCATCACATCATGTGAGAAATATTTGCGTACATAAGATGTACGCAGCATGTTGTATACCACCATTAGTCTTTTACAAACCTCAAAGTAAAATATATTTTATAATGCATAAGTTTATGACACTAAAGTGTTATAAATATAATACGTAAGAAATGTGTGGTATATATGTAAATATCCCTATATAGATAATATTTAATCTGATGTACACAGAGCTGCGTAGCATAAGTTTATGACAACAAAGTGTTATAAATATATTAGGTAAGAAATGTGTGATATATATGTAAATATCCCTATATAGATAATATTTAAATTAAAAAAAATGTTCTTATAATTCCCTTTTATTTGAATGCACAGTATTAATTCCCAGGCACCTTATATAGTTCACGGCTCGTCGGAAATGGAGGAATTGCAAGCCAAGTCTGAGAAGAGGCTTACGTGGCTCTCGAATTAGACTGTAAAACCAGTCTCAGTCTGGATTTCAAGAAATAAATTTCATCTTCTACCGTAACTCCAACTTTTATTTTTAGCAAAAGAGATTTTTTTTTTTTTTTGTAATTTTTTCATTTGCAGGTTTGAATGAAATTATATCTTGTTTTAGAGGAATGAGAGACATTGTAATTTAGACGTGTAAACTTTTGTACTTTGATGTTTTAACTTGTAATGTAATACTTATAATTAGCTTTGAATAGTTTAGTTGATTTTTATATTATTTTTAGCTGTTAAGAACAAGTATGACTTGAATTCCATGATTTAGGTTTTGGTGTTTCTTTACGTGAAAGTATTGATCTGTGACTTCGATTTCCATGTTAAGAACTTAAGATGGTTGTGATCTGTGGCTTCAATTTTCAATCTTGTGAACTTAAGATGGTTGTGATTTATTTATTAGATTATTTTGATTTAGCAAATTCTAAGAAATCACTGCTTATCTATCACGATCTGATTCTTAACACTAATGAATTTAAATGAAATGGAGTTGGGATGGTATTCTAGAAGTTTGTTAAGCCTAGCTTGAACAATTTTTTAATAAATGAGAATGAGTTTGGACAAGCTTTGGCAGAGCTCATGCGATTCGTTCAATAAATGAGCTTCTACTTATTATAGTTATTTGGTTCGATTGGTTCAACCGTGAATCAGTGAATTCAATCTGTTTGGTCCAAGTTCATAATTGTGTTTGCAATAAACTGGGATTGAATCGGTCAAAATTGGGGCCGAAACGAGGAACCGGCGAACATGTCTGATTTTTAAGGAACCGACTGATTCAAATATTATTCAATTTTAACCTTTTGATTTTGATCAATTTGTCAACAATAAGATATTTAAATTAAAAAGAGAGAAAATATCATGTCTTAAATTTTTTATTCATAACATAGCTCAAAATATTCAAAAATATTATCTTAAATTAAAAATAATATTGTAAAATTGATAAAAATAATATTAATACTATTATTTTATTATTTAAATTATATTAATATAATTTAAATAATAAAATAATAGTATTAATATTATTTTTATCAATTTTACAATATTATTTTTAATTTAAGATAATATTTTTGAATATTTTGAGCTATGTTATGAATAAAAAATTTAAGACATGATATTTTCTCTCTTTTTAATTTAAATATCTTATTGTTGACAATTTGATCAAAATCAAAAGGTTAAAATTGTATAATATTTGAATCAGTCGGTTCCTTAAAAGTCAGACATGTTCGCCGGTTCCTCGTTTCGGCCCCAATTTTGACCGATTCAATCCCAGTTTATTGCAAACACAATTATGAACTTGGACCAAACAGATTGAATTCACTGATTCACGGTTGAACCAATCGAACCAAATAACTATAATAAGTAGAAGCTCATTTATTCGCGTGGTTACTTGATTACCGGACGTAATATTTGCTCATTTTTATGAGTTTGGATTAGTTTAGGATTTCCTACACACCATGGACTATATAAAAAATGATAAAATGCATGTGTTACACATAGTTGAGTAAAATAATTTCTCTTCAACATGTGCTGAGTTGATAGACTTTGAAATATTGAGCTGTTAGAGGTTGGATTGCTGTTCGGCATACGCCGAGCAGGTCCAAAATATTACTTGAGTTTTGAGTATTGGCTAGTGTCCAATGCGAATTCTGATCCGGGCTCAATATGGCAGGATTCGGCTATACATCCTTCTATCAATAGTAAATGTCTATTTTGATTAATTTTATGATTTTATATGTTCTCATAAATCATAATTGAAGAATAGTATGTCCAATAATGAGACCAACTCAATTTCGCTAAAAATAAATTGGATTATAGATTGACACTCCTCACATAATTATGCAGTAATCATCTAAACTTTTAAATATAATAGATTGGCAATTCAAATTTAAAATGATGCATTTCAATCAGTAAAAAATCACAAAAAAATTTGAATATAACCAATTGAAAGTTGATCGTTTCAAAAGAAAATAAAATTTTGGATGGTTGAAATATAAAATTTTAAGTTTAAATAGTCAAAGGGTCTGTTTGGAGCAGTTGCAACTTATTGAATAATTTGCTGATACGCTGATTAAAAATAATTTGCTGATAAGCAAGGTGCGGTAGCCATTTAAAATTTTTATTTTTTTTGAAAAGGTAGACCACTGTCAAAAGGTGTGAAAATGCTGCTTTCAGCGTTTTCAAAACGCATAAGCTGCCAAAACGCAATTTTCCCAAACAGTTCAGATGTGTTTTCAAAATGCTACTGCACCACATAAGTTGCTCCAAACGGACCCAAAATGTTGTTTTTAAAATTTTGAGTGATTAATTATATATTTTTTTATCCCAAATAGAACTAAAGAATGGCAAAATCTAGATGCAAAAAGGATAACGTTGGATGTCAAGTCTGCATCAATCAATTCTTGAGATCATAATCCAATCCTTAAAGTTGTCAAAAACAATTAAGCAGTATAATATCACAATCAATAGCTACGAATCAATAGATTTAATGAACTCAATTTGAACTTTAACCCGAATTTAAATAATAAAAAAAGGATGAGAAAACTATCAATAGCCATCAAGCAGAGTGCAGAAAAAAAAAGATAAGAAAACTATCAAAAGTGGGAGGAAATATTCAAATTAAAATGTAACGTCGCTAACTCCACACTCTTTATATATAAAGAGAAAGAAGGAGTTGAACCATCACGCAAGGGTTAAAATGAAATTAAACATTCATATCTAAAACATGCTAAAAGAAATATCATATCAACATAAAAATGAGACTAAGAAAATAAATTTTATTTTGAAATAGACATTACAGATTACAAGAAGCGCTTAGGACTAACCCGGAAGGAAATATTTTACGAGGGAGTCGATCGTCGCTTCGGGCAAGACATACCTCAATAAAAACAATTTATTATACAAAATTTCTCCCCAAAGCTTAGGGCTAACCCGGAAGGAAATATTTTACGAGGAAGTCGATCGTCGCTTCGGGCAAGACATACCTAAATAAAAACAATTTATTATACAAAATTTCTCCCCAAACCTAAACTAATTCAGTCGATCCGTCTTAGTTTGAGCATGGAGTGTGAGGGATCTCTCCCGGGCATCCAATAGTTCTTGGTGAAGAGTGGCCACCTCCTTCTCCATCATCTCCACTTTCTCCATATAAGTAAGCAGCTTACTCATCTCCTCAACTCGCTGGATCTTAGTTGACCAAGCAAAGGAGTTCTAAGTCTCATCGAGACGACGAGCCATTGATTCGGGAGACATCTGACATTCACCAGTTGCTTCCCTGCTTGTCCCGAGAGGATTGCCTAAGCGGACAACCCCACCATCCTCTCTTGAAAGTCGACCGCCCTAGACCGGCGCCTGGGTAGTCGACACTAGCGCTACAGTCAGATTCTCACCCACATTCACTGAAGGAAAGTCAAAATCTAGGACTATCAGAGTTCGTTCATCTGCATGAAGTGATAAAGTAAAGAAAAATGACTTCAGAAAAAATCAAAATCTAACAAGTAAGATAGTTGCTTCTCATACCATGGAGTCAATCCAACTTAGATTTTGTAATTGACATAACGCTCTCTCCTTGTGAAGACAAAGCATCAACAACCTCTTGTGTAGCTCGTTCGATCGACACATCTTGCGTTGTAATAGAAGGATGAGCTGATTGGACAATAGTCGGGTCGGTCACCTTAACGTTCCTTTGCTTAGTGTTGAGAAATGAATTAGATAACCTCCCCTGATACACCAGTGCAACCACTTTTCTTTTCTTAATGATGACTTTCTTCTTTCAATCGAGCAGTACCGCTCCTTCAGCCTTCCAAAGGAAACACGAAACAGATCTTTGTTGGGGATATCACCCGATGGATTTGACATGTTCTCCATCATAACAATCAAGAGCCGACCGATTCAAATGAGAGAGATTGTAGAGCAAATAAA